ATGAAAATTTCCCGGTAGTAGCTCGATCAGCACAGTTTTCCCAACAGTGAGCTTGCTCCACTTTGGTACTTTATCCAATTAAATCGTATTGACAAGTGACTGTAACTTAAATATGGTTGAATCTCCTCTAGATTCCGGCTTGAAATGTACTTCCCCCATCGCAGAAACGAGGCAATAACCCACGATTTGACTTCGTTCCCCTGTTGGTGGCGTCTTGTCACGGAACAAACCAAATGCAGAAACAATCTTGGAATTGTTAAATGTAAGCAATGTTTATAGATTGAGGTTGGACACCATGTAGATTTATTTATTTTCTATGTATCTCGTGATGTAGGAAGTCAGTGCAGCAGTCCCTGGTTATGGCTCCCACGGGTAACTTCTCCTTACCTCAGATTTTCGTAACTCTTATTAACCTTGTTTTCTTAGCCCGCACTGTAAGTTACAGGCCGATGTTTTTACGCTCGGATTGATGGCCTGCGTGTCGTGTCTGGTCCATAAATCCAGCTGGAAAAGGATGTTCCGTAACGTTTAATACAGACCTAGGAAACGAGGTAAGATATTTATTATCGCTCTGGGTTCAAATAGAGCGGAATAATTTCATTTAAAACAAAATTTTGAGTTTAGCGGGCTGCACAGAGAAATATGGCCAAGTTAATTCACGAGTCATACTACACGTGCAAACTGATCGATAAAGTGAAATATTTTATCTACCAAACGGTTGGTGTACTGAGTCAACAGAAGTTTGTCAGCAAGAATGTGCTTTCTTTTTTTAACTTCAGCCAGTCTCTTTACAAATAACCAAAGAAATTTATGACAGCTAGAAGAGAGAGATACTAGTCGAATTTTAGGAGGTAAAAAATCAAACCAGATAATGCGCGTGCAATGTGTTAAGGAAACCTTGACTCAGAATCAAGAGGGCGAGCGTAATTTTCGCTTTTATTCGATAACCAATCGATGTCATGATGAGTATAACAGCATGTTTAACTTACATGGTGGTATCCTGCCGTCGACTTTGGAACAAAGGGGAACACCAGAATATCCAGACTATCAAAACAAATGTGCGCAACTCGGAGGTGTACATCTTCAGCCCATTGACATCATGTATGACGTCATATTGCTCATGAATTGACATATAATGAGGCTGAAAATGACCGAGTTAATCAAAATTGATGAAGAACTTGTTTCTAATCATCCCGAATATATTATCATGCCCAACTTGAATGTATTTTCTGTCCCGTTTGAAATAAATTGAAAACAAACAAACAGAACAAAATTAACGGGGAATCCATCGGTAATCTTTGGAGCGATAGCTTATTAGAGAGATTTAGCACCGCGTTTGCGGGAAACAGGAACTGCGAGAGTGACCACGTGACCTCGCTTTTCCGCCCTTTCCTCGCGTTTGCCGGTCGCGCTTTGCTGTTTCCCAGTGAAGGTAACCTGCTTCGCATTTGCCATGTACGGAAGATTTTCTTTCCTTTTTCTCTCACAGAGAAGCTAATGGCCATGGAAAAGGTCACCAAAACTATTCCTTGTAAGCCATACAAGGGCGCCTTCAAATCCATTATGGCTTGAGCTCACGCGAAGCTAAAGCAGCAAGCCTCACGCCATTTTACCAGAGACGTTAAAGGGCAAGCTGATGTTTGCCGTTTCACGTAAACGCGGTGCTAAATCTCTCTCTATTATCGGCACGGGAACGTGATGGTCAAATAACTTTGACTCTTCTCGTTTTTTTATGACGACGTTAAAGTTGATGAGTTATCGTACAAAGAGGGAGAAATGGGGATAATTTACTTTTTTATTGAGAGAGAGGAGTATTTCCAGAGAGCTTATGTGCATGAGGTCATTTGGGAACTCACAGAGAATAGGGGAAACAAAAAAATTAGGATTTGAAAACAAGTTTTCTAATTGTCCTTAAGTAGGAAACGAGGATGTGGTTTCATTCGCCCTGGTATGCCCTAAATTTGTTTTAAACCTATCAATGGTTTTAAAAATAGGCAGACATAAACTTAAAATCGAGTTTTCATCCTTTACTCGGTGGCAGGGACAGGTGGGGTGTTGAGTGAGTTTGCTTTTCATCCGTCGCTCCAAACAGAAGAAGAATGCTTAAACATTGAAATCAATCCATTATCAAGCAACAAATTCAGTTATAGTGGTATCTTTTACTGAACCTTGTCAATTACAGATTCCATCTGACTTGCGAATAAAGATAAATGGGGTGGGGGAGGGGATGCGGCTCTGAGTGTGAGCTTCAGTTTTTTACATTGCCCCAAACAGAGAAAAATGGTTAAATCAAATCAATTAATCAAACATATTTATTGCAATATTTCCCTAGTTCGTCAAACATTGCATATGATTTTCTAAAAAAGGTATTCTATCGTTGAAAACTGAGAGAAATTGATATAAAAACTTGTTAACCGATCAAGTGTCAGAGTGTCTTGAAATCTATCTTTTAGGTAATCGAATACACGTCAAAAAGGCTAAATAACTGAAAAGCTAGACTGAAGATACCAAAAATACTTAGCACAAGATATTAAGTATCTGAAATGTCTCACTCTAGTGTGATATAGTCTAAATTCAAGAAAGCGTTTTTCGAAAAGTATAAGAAATTTCCTCACACTCCCTGAATGTTTTTTTCCACGCCGTGGTGGTATGGAGACGATGGAACTTGGCTCTCTTCGCCTTATGTTTGCGTTTGCGTTTGTATTGCCTCGGTTCGCAACTGTGCGAAGCGAAAGCAAACGCAACTGCGCGTTTAAAAAAAAGAAAAATTTTTCATTACTTGCACTGACGCTTGCATTTTTATTTTCATTTGCATTGTTTTTATTCCTTGACACCTGCGTTTGCATTTAAAGTTGCATTGGGGTAGTCCACATTTAGATCCTTGC